AACCCACAAAGAGCCAGCAGAGAGGCAGATTTTGGGAGAGGGCAGATTAACAGGGCCTGTCAGGGCACAGTCCCAGCTTTAAACTCAATTGTGAAGGGAATTTCTTGCCACACACAGWGTGTAACTGTAAATCCCCCTGTCCTCTTCATATTAGCACTATTGCAGTACAAGTCCCCATCATTCTGCTTTCCTTGGAAGTGAGAAGAAAAAGCTTCCCTGGCCARGGAAGAAAGGCATGAATCAGACTTCTGGCCCCTGCACTTTATGCACGGCTAATTGTCACTTTGCCATTTTAATAAAACAGATGTTCTCTGTTAGCAGCTTAATGCAATTAGTGTAATACTTCAAAGGGCTGCTGCCCCTGCCACCGTGCTGAAGATTGAGGAGTGTGTGATGGAGGGTTATTAACCTTCTGTGCTCCTGCTTGGGGTTTTTTCCTACTTAAGCTATGGAAAATCAAATTCAGAAACGTCCCCTAAATCTTCCTCCAAAGTATTTTTGGGTGCTTATTTAGGTTGCTAAATCAATGTCTCAGATCTAAAATGTTACAGAAAAGAGCTCTGCTTGAGAAAAAGCCTGTGAGGAGTGATGGTGTAATTGAAGACGGAGCTGCCAGCCACAGTTTTGGCCAGAGGATGTGTTACCTCCTCTGGGTTRTGAGCCATCCTGACCCTCCATAATGGCCATGTGGCTGCTTGTATTTCAGTCTTCCCTTGGTTTCTGCCTCCTGCTGCTTGACTCTTTGSCACACCCTAATTAAAGACTTCGGAGAGGTGGAAATACCTGGCTCCAAAGGATTACAATGGGAAGTGTGAGGTGGAGGGAGGTAATGGAGTTGGTACAGCTCCATTTATATTAAYCCAGAATAATGCATTGCTACAAGTTGAGTGTAGTAATTAGAATACATTATTGAATTGTGCTGATTCTGCCTCTCATGTTTTGCATTTWAATTCCTACCATGTAAATTTAGGAGTATTAATACTTGCCTGATTAGAATGTCTGCTCAGTTCCACATTTTAATTATAAAAAATCCTGCAGTGCTGTGTAATTTCTTGCCTTCATATGTAGAAATAGTTATCTTTGGCTCGACAGACATCAAATGTATTTAATGTATTTGGAAGAAACTGCTTCATGTGGCTTTACAAGTGACTGCATTGCAGCAGATGCAATGGTTGCCACTTCTGTCAGTGATCTGGCTTCCTGAATTTCTCTGTTCTTTCATTCATGAAATTTGCAGGCTGTGTAAGCAGCATTTTTAGATTTTCTTAAATGGCGTAAAGTAATTGAAGAACATTTAAAGTAATGTAACATTGATGCTATTTCTTTATCCACAAAATTTGTAATATTTTCAAATTAAGGAAACCCAAGTAACTTTTATCTTTTTTATCATGGAGACTGTTTCCTCTAATCCCTGAAATTTTGAGACTGTAGAATGAGTACATAATGCTTTATTTGGATATCCTTGGGCTGAAAAACATGGGCARTCAGCTACTGGTCATGCTTTAACTTTGCCTTAGCCAATTTCTTTATCCCATGTACAGTAATATCTGAGAGCTTTTAAATGTGTGAGTTTTGCTAATTATTGTCAACTTTAAATTATTTTTGTTTTGCTGTCTAAATACCCTTTTCCTTTGTTCTATTGGATTTTCCCTATTCCTATGCCAATAAAAATAATCTTTACCTGTGTTCAGTACAAATTTWCTGTGTTTTCTCAGCCATTCACTTTTTGATTGCAGCTCTCCTGGATTTCAAGTTGGAAACTTTTTGTGGCAAACTGTTATGACACACACTTCGGGGTGCTTAATTTCTGTCAGACTTTGTGGGAGTCTCTCACGGAGTTTGTTTATTTAGATTGACTTAAAAGTGCTCTGCCCTGTCTTTGTGCTTTTCCTTATTCTTGGCAGTCATTATCTGTCATGTGAGGAAACCACTGATAGAGATTGAGAYGATAAACTGCTCCAGCTCATAACATCAGCATTGCATTTTCCAGTTTTTTGCTGTGTTTTTGCTGGTGTTTCTCTCAGACGTTTCTGAAAAGATGGTGTTTCTGGACTTTGAATTTGTAGTTTTACCCAACAGGCCTCTACATCCTCCCTTAGTGGCTGCAGTGACAAAATGCTGTTGCCCTACAAAAAGGATCCTAATATAAAAATATTGATTTCAGACTCTTTTTGTGAAAACAGAAACCAGTTCTTTATGCCAGGCTTGAAAATGYATCCTCTAGTATCTTTTTACTGTCTTTTCCTGTTGATTTTCTTAATCCTTTGAGCGATTCTGTTTGCATCCTTAAGCTTATTATGCAGAAATTACGGACATTATCTCAGGTCCTTTGCATTTTCCAGSATTATAAAAAACTGGTCTAGCTGTTCCTTACACAGAGGTATCATGCAGTACCCAGAGAACATTAAGTTACTCTTCTCTTAAGCAAACTCTCTGCAACAAAAGGTCTTGCAGCAATTAAAATCAGGGGTGACAGTCCCATTTCTGTTGCTTTTCTCATTTTTATTTTGRATATTAACATAAATTATACTGTTTTTTTCTCGCTCTTTGTGCCACCTTAATTCTCTCAGACTTTAGACTYACTCCACTTTGTGAATTTTGCAAGTTTCTGAAGACAGCTGTGGGTGAGGTTTTAAAAAGCGTAGCAATGTCTTGTGCAATTTCCACTTATAARTATTATTTATTTGAAGCCTCATTCAAGGCAATTGGCTGCTTCTTTGTGCCCAGTGTACGAACAGTTCCTGTGATTCAGAGACTCTAATTCCTATCTGATATTCCCTCTTGCCAAATGCGTTACAGTTTATACTTCATATTGAAATATTGATGTCCCAGAGCTGAATTCAAACATTTGCTTGCTCAAGGGTTTCAGGACCATGCTTGTTCGATTGTTGTATTACCTGAGCAGCTTTACTTTTGCAAGCATCGTGCTAATCTTCCTGAGAGCTCCTTCATGCTCTGCTTTTATGTCCACTAAAAATCTTAGCTTTGGCTTCCTGATGACTCTCATTAAAACTCGCTGGTTTTCCCTCTGTGGCCACTTCTTTGGACTGCCCTTTTCTTGGCTTACCATCTTCTAGGAAAGCTGAGCTTTCTGCCAAAAACACAAACCCAGCAGATATTGCTGATAGTCTGTCCAGAAGAGGAAGCATTGGACAGGAGCAGGTCCATGTCTACACAAGATCCTGGTTTTGTTTCCAGTACAGCTCATCCAGTGACATCAGGCACTGGTGAAAGTTACTGTCCCTGAATCTGGTTTCAGATGGTTGGGGAAGTTTAAAAACACTGGAAAAGGAAAGGTAACAGTAACATCTGACAGGATAAATTGCTGGCTGACTCATTTGGCTTTGTCCTGCTTCTGACACTGGTGATTTGACTCCAGTTAAACTTGAMCCAATTCCGAAAGAATTGAATTAATTTACTGGTATCAAAATGCTAATACGAATATAATACCAATATGAAACATCTAAAATTAAGCAATGGAATCTGGACTAAGCAGGGTTGAGATGAATATGGTTGCATTTAGTCTATTAGTAAAATTTATGTAATTRTTTCTAGCTTCATCTGTCCACACACAGAAATATTTTTCTTCCTTGTTTTTGAAGTTTTTCRWAATTTGAAACTGATATTCTGGTTTCAAGAAACAAATATTTCTGATTTGATGTTTTGCTGATTTCAGCCTCACAATGGGCAACGGTGCCTGATYTGCAATGGTTTTAGCAAAGCCATGGAGCCTACCTCAGCCTAATTCCCACCGCGTTACACACAATATGAGCAGATAAAGTGATAAACAATACTTGTCTGTGTTGTGCTCACTGAATAACACAGGTGTGTGTGTCCCCAATAGCTGCAAAGTTTGGCCAGCTGAAGGAATGAATTGCTATCCCTGAGTCACATTACTTTCTTCATGCTGCTAGGTTTGCAAAATGCCASGTTCGTGTCTGCGTTGGAGGGCACAGCAGTGTCCTGTTCAGACTTGCACCCATTTTTAGTGAAGACACTTTCTTGTTGCAATGCAAAATTGAATCCTCTGGTAACTGGCACACWTTCCCCCTGTCTGTGCTTCAAACTCAGTGTGAATCCCTTCATTATCAGAGGACAGATTTTTAATGCGTCCTGTGAACTTATTGAGAACTGGTAATAATAGCCAGGATTCTGAAACTGACTGAAAAAAAAAGTAGAAAATAAACCATGGTACATGAAGTTTTCAATTTGGTTACATTCAAAAAGAAGTATATAAAGAATAGGAWTTTCATATTTCATTATCTTTTGAATATGAAATGGTAATGTTATGAATTTTTTATTATTTAATGTAATGTGAGTTTTTAAGCACAGTGTCACTAGAGCTCACTTGGTGAAATGCTTGTTTTTTCCATATATTGGGAAAAAAATGTGAACACTCAAGGCCAATTTTTCAGAAATCTCATGTAACAATCTCATCTTCTAATTGCAGCTAATTACATCTGTAATTATGCTTGGTTTTGCCTGTGTGAATTGTATGCACTGTCAGGCAAATTAGAATTTATGGCCTCATTTAAATAATGCTTGTGACTACAACACCTGGAAAATCTAACCTGTTGTAAGTTTATACTATAGATCCAATCTAACCTAWTGTAGGTATAGACTCTATATTATTGTAACTGTACTCTATGTAATCTAACCTATGTGTAACACGCATAATCTGAATTGATTCTAAAATGAATCACTTTGTTTTTAAAGTTCCCAAGGCAGATGAAATTGAGGTAAGGAAGGGCTCTCACCTGGTGTCACTCCAATCCAGATCTCCCAACAGACATGAGCAGTTCCCTAAGATAAACTTCAAGACATTACCTTGACTACAAGTGATTCCAAATTTCCCTGCTGATTCTTGCTGTAAGCAGATAGATTGTGGTTTTGATCAGGGATCAGTTGGATGCATCTCGTTATGGTAAATAGATGGGGTAMAGGAAAAGGGCAGGCAGTGATGAAGAGGGAGGGACAGAGGGAGGGAAAGGARCTGAGACTTTGCAGAACTCAGTCGGTGGACAGAACTGGCGGAACAAGAAGCAAGATCACTTTTTCCCAGCCCCAGAACCTCCTTTTTGAYAGAGACAGCTATAAATCTGCTGATAAATCAGCTCAGAAATGCTGAGCATAACACAAGTTTTTGTAGTCCTGATTATTTTTTTGCTAATTGTTGAGTTTTTCAGACTGAAGAAAGTTTGCAAGCAATTCCCTCCCGGACCTACTCCTCTCCCATTGCTTGGAAACTTGGTGCACTTGAACTTTCAGTTTCATCGGGATCTTCTGATGGAGGTATTTCCTTTAAGTTGGTCTTAACTGGTTATCTCTAACTATGATTTGTAAAAGTGTGATTAAATAGAGTGAAGGTTTTAAGCCTGTGAAAATTACAGGCAAGGTGTGGACATATGGAGATCAATTTCATTCCTACATTCTGGTCGTCTTTTAATGTGTAATATGTCATCTTCATAAGAAACTTAATGCCCTTAAKATTCAAGTAAACTTGGGGATAAGGTTTATGACTTGTTGGAGAATACCAATTATCCAAAAGATGCCTCTGCACCGCTACTGCAGCTCCTGCAAACTGTTTGCCACTTGCTCWTAGTGACAGCAGTAATTCCTCTAAGGGTTTGCAGGGAACCTCGAGTCCAGGTGGGTGTCTGGGAGCACACGAGGGCCAGTGAGTGCAGAGCAGACTCAGACTGTGATGTTCTAGCAGGGAGAGGAGAGCCAGAGTCTAAAGAATTATGAGGAGAAGCAAGTGTCTGATATCATCAATTGGCTGTGATTCTTCTGGCACCTTAGACACTGTCTGCCACCTCTTTTGTATCATTGTGGGAGTGCTGGAGCAGAGCCCAAACTTGTACAAAGCTTTTTCCACGAATGATTGGAGCTCCTGTGTCATACAGACATCCCTGCTTGGATACCTCCACTGTGTGTGTGCTCTCCTCAGTACTGGGAGGAAACTCTGGACTCAAATGCAACCCACTGGCATTTCATGGCTGTTGACTGATTTCTGTGTSCATGTCCTCTCCTGGAGCACASAGATGGTGCAGGTTTTAYCAGCTGATTTYATTTTGCAAAGGAAGGACTCGCTGKAGGCACAGAGCCCCAGAGTGGTGCAGAGTGTGGCTGTTCAATTAACAAGGGACAAACTTCAGGGTTGGATGCAATGCAACATAAAGTACAAAGTTGTCTTTCTTTTTCTGCAGAGTTGCTATAGAATGTGTTTTGAAAAGAAAATCACTTCCCCCCGGGGTAAATAAAATTGGCTGCTGAAAGCCTTGTTCTCAGCAGAATAGCTTCTTCCTGCTTCGAGCTACAATTAAATGCATGGGGATGATATTTTCAGCACAAAGCTGTCCACTGGGCTGGTGAATAGCAGGTGCAGTGTCTTCCCAAGATTTATATTCAGTGCTTCATCTCTTCTTTTTCTGCTACCTCTTCCACTTACAGCTGGCAAAAACTCATGGYAACATCTTCACTCTGTGGTTCGGGTGGATCCCAGTGATTGTACTGAATGGATTTCAAGCAGTGAAGGATGGCATGACCACACACCCTGAAGATGTTTCTGGGAGGTTGCTGTCACCTTTCTTCAGAGCACTGGCCAAAGGAAAGGGTGAGAATTTCCTGACATTATCAGTGCACKGGAATGTTGACTTGAAAGCTACTCTGCCTTGTTAGACTGTGCCCTCCCATTCTGAATGTTCCATCAGATACTGCTCAAGTCCTCCACCAGCTCCTGAGAATACTTTACTGTTTGCCGTGATGCCTTTTGTACTGAGCTTTCCCCATCCTGGGAAACACTCCAAGTTGTTTCTCGGTGACCTTTTTGCTGTACTCAAGACATATRTGTGCAATCCAGCTCAGAACCCAGCAATCTCGCCCTCATCACAGACTAATCCATTGTGGTACACCTGATTTTGCTGCACATCACACGAAGGCAACGCTGTTTGGTAGCCAGATACATCAGGGTTGCCCAACACTTTTTATCATGAGCAAGAGATCTGTAAAACCCTCCTCCAGAACTCACATTGCTGTACTTGCAGACACTCCTATGCATTCTGTGAATATCCTTTGATTGTGAGTGCCTCCAACACAGAAAAATCCAGTTCTTACTGTATTCCAGCAGCTGCAGTCTTTTCTTTCCCTTGATTTGCTAGACCCAAGCAGTCACAGATTGTTTAAAGCTGGGTGAAGCCTCATCTTCACAGCAGCAGTTCGGGGGTCTTCAGCAAACCATGAGTGCAATCCAACAATTAATGCAGTGTTCTCTCTTCCAGGGGGAAACAGAGCCCAAATGCCACTTATTCTTTGCCTTCATCACCTCAGCCTACAACAATCATCACATGAATTGATTTATATCTCCACAAACACACCCTGCTCTGTACTCCACTCTCTTATTCATCCAGTTATTCCTGTCTTGAGCATGATTGATGAGTATGGCTAAAGCAGACCTTCTAAAAAGGCATCTGAAATGTTTTAGGGGTTTTTTTTTAAGACATCAAGAAATGGACCAGTTAGCAAATCCTTAGATTACTCTTTTCAATGATTAATTATATCCAATATTAAGAACATATGGTCTAGTTATACTTTGGGTATGTTTGGCTGTGTTTTTTGGTCACGAATAATTTCACCTAAAGATACTTGTATCACAGTGCATTCCCTGATTTACTCTATGCATTTTATAATATATATTTAAATGAATTGTTCATGTCTATGCCAAATATTAACATGCCAGGGAACACCCTCAGGTATTATATTGGCAAGTGGTCGCTCCTGGAAGCAACAGAGACGCTTTGGAATAATGACCCTGCGCAATCTGGGAATGGGGAAAAAAGGCCTGGAGCATCGAGTGCAAGARGAAGCCTCTCACCTGGTGGAGTTTTTTATGAACCTAAAAGGTATTTACCTGCTAAGAAATCAGGTACTTTGGATATGGATCCATGTCCTCAGTATACGAACTTATCTACCCCTGCTAGGATCAGAGTAGAGCCATGGGGGTGTATGCAAACTTACCAAAGCCTAAGAGCAGATAGAGCATAGAATCACAAGAATTCCTTTCTTGTGTGGCTGTTCATACACCTAGTGAAGCTGGGAACTTCTGAAATTCCATCTCCATGGGCTGATTATTTGTCTGTGATGTTTCTGTACAATGACATTATGCCACTGGACAGCCCAACCATTCTCAGGCTGCCAACCATGGGTAACTGAAAAGCATTGTAGAGCTTAGTAATTTCCCTAAATTTCAATGGAATTGGGTGTCCTGGGTATTTCAGAGTCTGTCTGACTAAGTAACTATTGGTTAAATAACTATTGGCAAGGGAAACAAAGAAAGTAGGAGGTGGGAGGGAATTTCAGTGGATTATCTGGTTAATCCTGGAGTCCAAGACAGGACCATTTCTATCCAAATCACTTTTTATGGATCTCCCGTCTCACAAATCTAGAAAAAAATCATCAGACAGATGATTTATTGCTCACGGCTGAGACTGTAATAGTTTTGTTATGTTTACTTTGCAGTCCCTGTCCATCTATTSTTCACCTTAAACTTTCCCACATTCCTTCAGCCTTTCTTTGTAATTAGTTTTTTACATTTTTGAATGTGTCTGTCACTGATTTCCCTTGGTTCTTCTCCAGTGGCATTACTTCCTTCTCACGTTCTCAGTTATCATCCTCCTCATGGCTGAGGACAGAGATTTGATGTGATACCCTRGAACAGATCTTAGTTACACAACATTATTTCACAGGAAGAGCTGTGAAGTTGTTTTAGAGCTATGAGAAAACAGTTTAACAGTGTCCTTTATTCTAAGACTATGTTTTATTTTCATTAATTCATATTACTGCCACACCTTTGTCCTCATTCATGCCCCAGCTGGATAAAGAGAAAATTTTATGCAATCTTTAATAACATCTTGTCTTATCTGTATAACGATCACCTGAAAAAACCACTGAGAGTGAATTCCAGTTATTGTATTTGCAGGAAGACCTGTGGATCCTTCTTTCCCCCTTTTCCATTCTATTTCAAATGTAATTTGTGCTGTGGTTTTTGGATATCACTTCTCTGATGAGGACAAAACCTTCCATGAACTGATCCATGCTACAGAGAATTTATTCAGGTTTGCAGGCAGCTTTGTYCACCAGGTAAGTAAATCATATGCTGGGGTTTTTTTATGAAATAGGTAGAAAGTGAAAGAGCAGATACAAAAATGGGTCTTCACTAAATACAGAACAACAGGCTAATGCAGGCTGGGATCTAAGAAGTGTCCTTGGGGACCTTATTACTGCTTCCTTGGTTTTGAGGCCATTTTTAAGAACTCTTTTGTATTTTTGCAAACTTAGGAGMTTTAAGTCCCTTGGTATTTCTGAGACTATTAACAGAAAGCTCTGAATTTAATTTGAGACTGGATTTTGTACTWAATATGAAGTCTGCAGTGCTGCACCTCCCACCTCTATTTACTCATCTCCTCCAAAAATGGGTATAATTGAATTCCCTCTTCTGCTTTTTATTACTCTGCAAATTGTATGCTGAAAATCTCTTTTTTYCCTCCCTCACAAATAATAAAATACTCATTATGAATCCTTCCCTTACTTCATTATAGCTCACCATTCACACATTGCAAAAACAATACATACACTCTCTGACAGTCTCACAATTTAAGTTTTGTCAGAGATTTTTTTGTAGCTCCTTCCCACAAYAGACCAGCTTTGCACTTGAAGAACCTTGAAGTGCACTTGAAGTTTTCCCTATCAATTAGATTTTGTGGTTTGAACTCTTAAATAGGCACAAGCTGTGTATAATGGGGGATGTGGATGGCATAGCAAATTTCATTGGCATTTGAGTTTCATAGGAAGAGTCAAACTAAAATGCTGATGTGGCAGTAAAGCTTTTCAACGAATCTATCATATGAGAGTAGCATTATACAACTTTCCCAYAGATAAAAATTCAAAAGTAGGTTAAATCTATGAATGATCAATGCCAGGAGACCTTAACATACAGAGGAGGTTGAGGGTATTCTGCTGCAAGAGCTTCTAAACTCCATGGATTGGAGTTATGAGAATGGGACAGATTATAATAGTACAAAACAAAATTATGAAACATTCTAGGAATCAGTGAGACTAATTAAAAGATTAATTTTTCTAAGCTCACTTACTATGAGTTTAGAACATTTCAGTGCAAAGGTTAAGAGGAAAGGGATTGGTGCAAACTAACAGATAACAGGATGAGAAAGGCAAACAGAATCTTTGGGTGTTTTCAACACTATTTTCCTTTTAGATCCAGTGAAGTTTTATGGTAGGTTCTGAAGTGTAATAATCTGTGAGATGTATTCTAGGGTCTTGGACATCTTCTGTTGTTATTCTGAAAGGAAACAAAGGTGGAGAAGTGGTAATGGAGTGGAGCAAACCATCACTAAAAGTTGGAGAGATTTTGCTTGTCAGTCTGAAAGAACAAGGAGAGGAGATAGAACTGCTCTTTGCTGAGCAGGGTAGAATGGCAGATGCTGCACAGACAGAACTATCTGAGATAGAGGACAATGTTTTGAACTGACAAATRTATGTGTGAATACACTCAGCAGTCTGAGGACGTAATATTTTTAACCATCAGAACAATTATTGTTCCTTAGCAGTCACGAGGACTCTGACTAGGAAAATTAAATTAGCTGATATCATAGAGTGATGTCCAGACCATAATTCCTTTGGTGAGCTCCAAAAATTCCAGCAGTTACTTGGGGCTACAGACCTGTTAATCTCAGTAGCCTCATGGTGTCCAGAAAGGATGTTCTTGCATTTTGAGTGTGTGGGATCTGTGGTCTCCAACTGTGCAGGACTGAGGTCATAGAGTGATCTTTATCAGTCAAGCAAACTTGGAGGCATGAGCAGAGTGTTGCCAGAACTGTCTCAATGTCAAACTGACAGTGTCAAATTACTATTAAAATTTTCCCACATGATGGCAAAAATCTGCTCAAATCAATGCTAATTGTTTATTCCACTATCAATATTTCTGGGYAGGGCAATTCAGCCTTTTGGTGTGTCCAAAAGCAGCTTTGTCAGTGACAGATGATTCACAGTACCTGGTGTGTGTCACTCCTGCAGATGTATGAAATCCTGCCCTGGCTCGTGAGTCGTCTCCCTGGGCCTCATAAGAAGGCATTGGCTTGCTATGATGTCCTGAGTTCTTTTGCAAGGAAAGAGATCAGAAGACACGTAGAGAGGGGGATGCCTGCTGAACCACAGGATTTCATTGACTTYTACCTGGCTGAGATTGAGAAAGTAAGTGTTTGTTCTGGCTGATCACACTGATGTGAAAYACAAGGCCAAACAGACCATTAAATCACCCAGTGTGACCTTTCCATCATAGTTTCTTACCCTCCATAAGCTTCTTAATATGAACACAATATTTTGGGACTTACTAACTCATGTCTCTCAGAAAGGCATCCAGTTTTGTATTTTGGTTACATGAATGAGTAACCATAAAGTATGATCTCTCATCTGCTTTCCATAAATATCCATGAATATACTTTGATCCTGCAATAAATATGAGACAGTTTATTCCTGTAGGTTACATGACTTTGGTAGACCTGCTCATCTTCTACAGCAAGGCACTTCATTACAGCCATGGGATTAAATAATGTGCATAAGTCATTGGCCTGAAATAGCARGCAATTCTTCAGGATTCAGCTCCAACACTGGCTGTCCTTGTGCCACAAAAGTGTCTGGTTCCTCCCTTGGCAGGGAATCATTATCCCYATGTCACCTCTGATTTCCCCACGGTTTGGGGCATGGCTGGCTTGGTACCTATATTCAAATTGGACAGCCTAGAAATCAACTTCAAAACAATGCCATAATCATCATTAATCTTCTTCCCTGCCCAGGCTATTATTTATCACAGTAGGAAGTGACTCTGAGCCAAGAGGCTCTGCTAAGAGCACTAGGGTTTCTGCTTCAAGCTTTTCAGGAGGTAAAAGAAGCATCTATTTCCTAGGGTAGATGAAGTTTGTGTAGCTTTTACCTCTGGTCATTAGCATTCAGCTACTCAGGCTGCTRTGTCCACACAGTGTTGGCTCAGGGGCTCTGAAAGGAGCTAATGCATCATCTTACACTTGAGTGTGACAAGATTTACTAAAATAATTATTTTAGAGGCAGAGATGCTGGTGTCAGGGGTGCAATTATTGCCATATGTTTATTTGAAAATGTTTTTGCCTGATGTATTTTCTCTGGTTGTATTTTTATTTTACTCCCTTATTACTCAGAGGGAAATACTTGGGCAYCTCTCTCCCATCAGTCCACATTTATCCAGAACTGAGAAAAGAAATTATTCTCAAAATGTTGCATTGAAATCCTTTTATTGAGATACATTTTCCTTTGGTATTTGCTAGCAGCRTTAGGTACCAAGGCCAAGGAGTGACATGCTGTAGATCACTTGCTTGCAAGTACAGCCTTGGCTAACTGCAAACTTGCAGTGTGCTTTGATGTTTTCTTGATTCAGTCATCAGCCATAGAATTGCCTCTTTTTTAAGAAAGAAAATCCACCTCATAAAAGACACCAATGCAGATTCACCATAGCTATTTGGGAAACTGCTAAACTCTTAGTACTCATCAAAAACTCTAATTTTGACCATTCTTTGTGCACATGCCAGCTGTGCACAAAGTCTCACAGGACTCACTCAGAGGGCATACAGGATGACCTAATTTTTATGCTTTAACTTCAACTTTTTGTCACCATCTACAGTCTAAAGAGGGGGTCAAACCCAAGTATGATGAAGACAATTTGGTATATGTCATAAATGATCTTTTCCTCGGTGGATCAGAGACCTCAAGCACGACATTGTACTGGGGACTGCTGTACATGGTAGTGAATCCACACATCCAAGGTGAGAGTAGTGGGGTTTTCCTGTTTATTTTTATTGTCCTATGTTAAACTCAAGCATTTAATTTAATTAATATTTAATTAAATATTTATTTAATTAAATATTAATATTTAATAATATTAAATCACAGGGTATAAACCTAATGGACTATATTGAAATAATGCCGTTTTCTGTTGCTCTAAGAAAATAAACCAGTTAAAGTATTTTATGCATTTTTCTTCTCTGAAGTGGTGAWTATTTCTCCACAGAGAAAGTGCAGAAGGAGTTGGATGCAGTTCTGGGTCCTTCCCAGTTRATTTGCTATGAGGATCGGAGAAAGCTGCCCTACACAAATGCTGTGGTTCAYGAAATTCAGCGCTTCAGCAACATTGTTTTTGTTGGCATCCCCAGATTGTGTGTGAGGAACACAACACTGCTGGGATTCCCTGTCAAAAAGGTACAGACACATTTTCAGCTTCTGTTCTTTCTGCAGCAGGGACACATTTCAGATTTGTAACCCGTTTTCCATAAGTAAACTGCTCTCCATTAAACTCAGGAATGTGGTGCCTGGGGRAGGGTTGCTGTTTGTGGCTCCAGGAAGGAAAGAAATCTTTCCCTTAGCCTGTAGGTACTCACAGAGTTGATAAGGCCTCTGCAAGGGAWGCCTCAAGCTCCTGCCCATCATCACAACTGCAGAGACCAGCTCTGCTTGGTAGGGGATGCACTGAGAGGGGAAACGCCTGTTAAGACATCCCTGCCCAGCTTGGTACTTGCCCAAATGCCAGCAAGCAACAGATTTATCCAYCAGACATAAACTGATGCCTGACAGGCACTAGTAGTTGGAACTGAATCAACAGTTTCTTCTTTGCAGGGCACCATTGTTATACCAAATATAGCATCTGTTCTGTATGACCCTGAGCAGTGGGAGACACCTCGACAGTTCAACCCTGACCATTTTCTGGATAAAGAAGGAAACTTTGTACCTCGAGAAGCTTTCTTACCATTCTCAGCAGGTAAAGCACTGACAGCTTGAACTGATCTGACAGATGAGATGATGAATAGAGAAATATGAGATCATTGTATTTCTTCAGATAACATCTGTCTCTGCTGTTTGCTGCTTTTAAAGAACATTCCTGGCTTGTTTCTGCCAAGGGAGAGGCTTCTGTGGGTGCATGCTGCAGTCACACACAGGTTCTGTCTGTGGCATTCTTTTCCCATAGCTATTTTCCTGAGAAGTAATTGCTGGAGTTAATTGCAATCCCTACTAAAGAAACAAGCTGAGAGAAAAGCAGAAGGCATCCTGATAAACAAAGGATTAAGTTCGTGCCTAAAGAACTGAAAATCCAGTTGCAAAAGAAGGAAATAGTATAACAATGCACTGTAATAAACAGTAATCCTATGTAGTGGTAAGGTTCCTGCTGATGGTTTTGTTTTAGTTTGTCTGCTGATGGTCACTTAAATATCAATTCAGAAGTGGTTTCTTAATTCAAATTGGTTTTTCTTTCCTTATATTAGTCTGCTAATCTGGAAATCTGAATGTAATATTCACCTTTTCTGCTCACACCATTGGTGCCAAGGAATGGTAATCATGGGAAATGAACAGTAGGCATCATGCTTTGCCTATAAAGTGACCAAGCCTCTGTTTAATTACAAATGCCATCATTACCAAGTAATTTTGCTCTGCTGATATTAACTCACTAAAGCATGTGCAAACAGCTGGAAGATTTTTTGTGTATGGYCCTGACATTCAACATCTTCTGTAAAAACAAAATAATTTTCTGTCAGGTCAAGAAAGAAATTGTGGTGGCACCTCATGGACTTTCATTGAAATTTTCATTTTGTGTTTCCCACTTAGGATGGGATCTTTTGGAGAAGGAATTCATATAGTTCTATTTCTGTGGCTTTCACAATCCTGTCCTTGAAAAAAAACAAAGCCCAGCTCTGCTTGCAACAGGAATGAACTGAGTGATTATGAAACTCTAAAATTGCTGGATACTCACTATCCTTTCCCTGTTCCCTCTGCAGGCCACCGGGTGTGTTTGGGGGAGCACTTAGCGAGGACCGAGCTCTTTATTTTCTTTGCCAATCTGCTGCGGGCGTTCACCTTCCGGCTCCCCGAGGGRGTGACAGAGATCAACACTGAGCCCATTTTTGGGGGMACACTGCARCCCCACCCCTACAGGGTTTGTGCCATTCCACGCTAGGCTGCAGCAGYCACAGGCCAGCAGGAGAGAGCCACCTTTACCTCCGTGAATTTCCTCTCAAGTGCATAAACATCCTCCTGGTTATTGATACTAGTCTATCCCAGAGCTATTCAGAAAGTGGATGCAAACCATGATCCAGACTAACTGTATTTTTTTTTTATCTGGTCTTTGTGAAACTCATGGGTATTCTCACAGGGATCTTGACCATATTGTCCTCTTGGAGAGCACTTGAAGCCGGATGCTGTGGTTCCCAGCTGAAGCCATGCTGTGTCCCCTTGTCCTAGATAAGCAAAATCATCCTCATGCTCTGTCCTGAGCAAACCGCAGGAAAATTCAACAGAGTATCTCAGCAAGAGCTGAGCAGGTGCCATTGCTGTGAGTGGCCTGATGACCTCCAGTAATCTGACTGTGGAAAGGACACTTTTACAGCTCTGTTTTGGTTTTATTGTCCTGAACGTAGCCGCTTTAATTTGTCAACTGGTTGCAAAACATCCCAACCAAACCAACACCCAAATCCCAGGAAACACGTTAGAAAGTGGGTGCCTTCACATCTGAATTTGATGTTAAGTATCTCCCATATACTAGGCAAAAAGTAATTCTGAAGTTGAAGAAAGAAACTGAAACTTGGTGTTTACTATCAATGTAGTTGTATTATATTGCCAAATTGTTAGTTGTTTATTGTTTGTTTTAATTTTAATGATGTAGAATCACACCCATTATCAATCCTGCTTGGATGAGGCATYGAATGTGAGATGAGAGAGTCACTTTGCCTGTGAGTTTCACTGCAAACTCCACGAGAGAGAAATGTAGAGGCTTTGGAAGGCAGCCTGTAGGGGCTACCTGAACACTCAGRTATTCCCCATTTATTCTTTGCCCTTTACTTTTTTCATTACAACCCAAACCACACTTCCTGGTATCCATTCAATTTCTTCCAGATCACCCTTCCCCTCCTTCAGTTCCTGCTCCCACCTCTCCTTTATCCACATAAACTCTATTTAAAGATTCACCTTGATGTGATGACATCAAGCTTCTCTGTCCTTTTTTTTCTGCACAAGTATCAGTAGAGGAATCCATGCTGAGCTGAAAACAATCATGAGTATGTTTTTGGGAGGAAGCTTGGAAAGTCTCATTTATTTGTTCTTTAAGGCTCCAGATTATGGAAAGAATTGCACAGTAACTATGCAGGGCACACTAGAGGTGACCTAGTGCAAGAAAAGACATAAATGGCAATGTGATGCAGGAATYCTAAAATATCTGTTACTTAAAGTAGCTGCTCATTGGCACTGMTTCAACTCAAGAGGAGACAGTTTGAGCACACAGCTGGAGGTGACAGCCGAGTTCAGCTGTWACTTTGTTAAAGTGAAGTGCTGCAGAATTCTTGTATGCAAATCTCTTTTGGAACGGATTCAGATGCTGGAGTTGAGTAGAGCTGCCTGTAAATACTACTGTAAACAGCATCAAAGCTGTATTGAGGACCAAAATTGCTTTTATGTTGGAATATAACATATTTATAATTAAATCAGTGTGGTACATCTGAACTTCCTGAATTTAAAATGGAGGAGAATGTTCCTACAAAGAAGTGAGAACTGACCAGGTCCTGGCATGTCCTGTAGCCCTGGCAGTGGTCTGTGCCAGCACAACCCAGCACCAACAGGCTTGCAGGGCTGGAATGGAAATTAGGGCAACTAGGGCTTTCACAAAGCAATAGCTGTAATAAATAATCCAGCCTGTTACTCCACACAGCATATCAAASAATGTTCCAGGGCTATTCACTCCTGCACAGCCTCCTTTCCAGCTTTATCTRCGCTTCTCCTCCACCCTATCCTCCCACACCTGCTCCTCTCCAGTAACCCGTGTGTTGGTTTAAAGGACAGGTGCCTTCCCAGGAAAGCAGGAACCTTCCTAGAATGGAGAAYGAACCCCCTTCTGTCCAAATCATTATAACTTTGAAATTATGGGGTTTTCAGGCAGAAAACAGCAGGGGCTGGGTGGCCCTGAGAGGAGAGAGAAGGTGGAGGCAGGGGATTGTTTCAGGTTTTCCCCTGGCTCTCAGGTGTCCATTGTGGTGTCCTGGGGATGGACACRGCAGCTGGGAGGGGCTCCCTCTGGAGCAGGTCGGGGTCCTGKTTTCCCCTGAGATGATGAGGGTCCCTCCCAGTGAGGGTGGGTGTTGAAAAGGTCCCARTTCAATGACTGYTCTTGCCAGAAGAGGCCCACCCACAGTAAGGAGAAGTAGTGAAGGACAAAACTGCAGTGGCAGCAAATCCTCTGGGCAGCAGTCCGGCACCAAAGCCACAACCATGACCCCTCCAATCCCCACAGCATGTGGAGAGAGAGCAGGAGAGGGCTGAGCCCAGCCCCTGACTCCCAGCCAAGACTCGCAGTGTCTCTGCACTTCCCAAGAGAAAACCCCCAGCCACAAACTCACTGCCCTGCTAAGAGACTGCAGCCAACTGCACCCCTTCTCTCCTCCTCCTCATCCTGGCCACATCTTTTGTCTTTGTGCAGTATTGTCATTCCCACCTCTTGGGCAACAAATGGGAGAAAAATTCCCTGGGAGAAAGGTAAAAAAAAAAAAAAAAAAAGGAAAAATCTGTCTTCCAAGATCCTGCTATAGGTGGTGCCTCTCATTGCCTTTGCCCAATCGACTTGTCATCTTGCCACTTGCTGAAGAGGCTTAATGGTAAGATCTGTGTGAAGCTGGTGGTTCTCAAGGTCTGGAACAGTGAATCCATTGGAACTGTGCTCATCCCGTTGATAGACAGGTTCCCTGTAATCAGGCAGGTCTCAGGAGTGGCATGAGGTGGTAAGAACTGGCAATGTGCTGCCCATTCTGACCACTCCTGGCCACCAGCCTCTACCAGGCAGTACAAAGTAATTGTTCAGTTGTGTATCTCCAGCTCCTGGACAGACTGACCTCTGGCAGTGGACAAATTTGCAGGTTATGGGGAAAGAGTTGAAGTGATCCCAGGGTACTGGTGAAGAGTGACAGCAGACTTATCTCTGGCTCAACTGACTTCCCTAGTCCACTCTTTCCATTGCTTTCTGGCCTCTCCAAGTGCTGTTTTCCCTGCTGATCATCATCATGTCCACAGGTTCCAGCCCCATGGCACGTGTCTGCCCTATGCCATTGAAGAGCTACCAGGCTCAAAGGTGCACGCCCTGCTGCTGATGGCTGCAGTGGTGTAACTTCTTTTAATTGCTGTGATTAACCCTCACCCCATCTTTGTTTTTATTTTAAAACTAGTGTCACCCACAGCCTCAGGCCTCTGAGTTAAGATAGAAGTCTCATCCTTAATAATAYGGTTTAGAAGGTTTTGAAACCAGATTGCAGGTGTCCGTTCCAGGGAAAGATGTGCAACTGGGTGTATTACTTCTTAAACCACTGTGATTCCTTCGGGGAAAAGTGAGTTCCTGTTACAGAACTGCAGAAGTGCTGCTTTGTTTCATATTTACAGGATAGCAGGAGCGTGCAAATCCAGAGAGCCTAAAATATTTAATGTTGATGGATATGAGAGAGCTACCTAACATKATATGGTGCTTAGCTCTGCTAAGTTACAGTTCAGGAAAGCACTGGCAAGTTGTCTGCCACCCTAATCCTTTGCTATTTTWTTTTCTTGTGTTTCTCTTTCTCTTTCATGGTGGGCTCTCCTGGGTAGCAATATTAGTGCCACAGCCATAAGCAGGCTATGTGCCAAACTCCAGGGAAGCYATTTACCCTGGCAAAAGGAAAAAGCAGACACTGGAGACAAAGACAGCCTTGTGTAAAAGTTTGTMGATTCTGCATCCATCCAGTGATTAAAAGCAAGAGTTGATTTTTTCACTTCTGTTTGAACAAGTTKTTTGGGAAACTGTTTTGTTTCAAAAACCCAGGCTAAACTGTCCCTGTGGATGCTTCATGGTATGACCCAGTGAATCAACGGCGTGTAGTGGGGGAACCTGACATCTACAGGAAAAGAAGAAATCATCTGTTGCACCAGCACATGCATTTGGGGAAACTATTTCTGTACTTCTGAGGAAGTCTGGAAACTCTTGGACAAACAGGAAGTGAAAGAACAGGAAATTTTTGCTCTTTCCAGTGGAAGATCTGGCAGGTGTCAAATGTAACCAAAAGGGAGATGGTTCAAAAGAGCCAGAAGGGGCTGCACTGCACACACTGTGTTGGTAATCTGAGCCTCATCACAGGATTTGTACTAAACATCTCTTTCTGTTCAAAAAGCAATTGGATATGGCTTCAGCAGGAGAATTACTTCAGAGTTGTTTAATAACAGTACAGTATTAGGTGTTTTTACTGTTTTACAAACTTTTCTAAGGTGTCTCCCATCATGTGCTGTCAGAACTGAACATGAAATTGGCTGAACTTTCAGCTGACACACCAGAACTGTGTTTGAGTTCTGCAACACTCAGAATTAAAACAGTTTCAAATTAATCTTAATCTTGAACATTTATTGTCATTATTATACCACAATCTTTTATTTTCCATTTGAATAACTTCATSTTACTTTCAGACAGTGCCATGACCAATTGCCTGCTGAGACATAACTTGGGAAACTTGAAAAAGATGCTCATCCAAGCAATCATAATCCTGGAGTATGAGCCAAAATGCACTAAATATTACTCATTTCCTTTTGATTAAAAGTTTTGCCTCTGTCACTTTTTAAAGCTTAATTCATTCATTTGMCAAATGCCTTCAGGTGAGAAAAATGCATGGTGAACAGGAAATCTGATTTTCTTCAGTACTAAAATGAAATTTCATGTTTAAAAAAGACAGATAATATGCTAATTGAATTGGGGTGACACACACTTCCTTTAACACATTGTTAAGGAGCCATTTGTCATCGTGTGTGAGATCTGCATTTAAGTCCATGCTGTATGGACAGCCTTGAGCTGGGAACAGTGGATAACCCAAGACAACGAAATCCCTCCCCATAAAACCCTTCTGCTGAAATCTTATTATATGCTCACTGCTTTTATATCTTCAGTATTTCCACGATATTTATAATTGTGAAATACAGCACTAATAACATTTCCAGCTAAATTAAACTCACAGCCACATCTGGATACCCCCTGAATGAGGTAAGGTATATTCACAAGGATGGTACAAAGGGATCTAGCATTAGGCTTGACTTGATTTGCCATCCTCACTGGTGAYAAGAATTGTTGAAGAGTAGAACATGCTTTGTAATGTGACATTTTAAAATTATTCTAAACTCCTTGCAGAACTCTTAGAGGGAAAAAAAAAGGGGTTTATGTGTCTGGCTGAACATAAAAATGAAGACACAATGTAGAAAATAATTCATAAAATAAAGCATAGACAAATGTGGGTGCACTAAAACACAGGAAAAATAGTCCTAAATTATCTGGGTCATTCTCCAGGATGCTCTGAGGAGCCACTATAAATCTGTAAGAATTACCTGTTAAGGTGATTTCACAGAGCTCATATTAGCTGAAGCAAATCAATGGCTTCATATGCATGTGGAAACATATAGAAATGAATAAAAAATTGTGGGTTTCACTATAGATTTATCCTTGCTTCAGAGACATCCACAGGAAATAAAGCAATCAAATTTAAAAAACACAGCAGCTATGAACCCTATCTTTTAGGCTGAAGCAAAAGGATTTAAAWTTTTTTCTCCCTCCATGTACTGAGAGGAATAATAATTTAGATGAAATTTCMATTCCAAATAGCTTTTACAATTCACCCCTCAGGGAAACGGGAAAGTCTCAGCAGGAGCTGAGAGACTACAGAGCACCAGGTGAGAAATAACTGGTGGAAAAGTGTCATATATTAAACAAATTTCATCTCAGCAGCCCCTGCCCTGCTGATGGTTCCAGAAAAGAAAAATTACAAGGAGTGAAGCAAAATGGTGAGAGGGAGTAAAACCTCTTTCCTACTGCTGGAGTAAAATAAGTTCAGCTTTTGTCCTGCTTTTTTTATGAGCACTGAGGGCAGACAGGGAGCAGCAAGAAGGTAAGGGAGCACTCAGCAGCTCCTGTTTTAATTTCCTCACAGCAGTGTCAGAGTTGTGCTGARAAAAGGGGACCAGGCCCCTTGAGCCAGCTCCTCTCCCCATCACTGAAAAGAGGCAGTGCTGGCTTCAGATAGCACCACAGCCAACACAACATCTGCAGGAAGTTAAACAACTTGGATATTTAAAGTAGCTAGCAGATAAATGATAAAATAATCTAAAGATGCCATGTAAATAAAGGGTGTTATATGTGGAGTAATGCTGTATCTGTAGCTTACTCTTGCAAAAACAAATGTCWCTGCCAGAGCCCATGCAAAAAGAGTAGATTTAGGGGAACGTTCTAAGCCTGAGAGGGATTGAAAATGGAATGTTTGTGACTCAGCCAAAAGCCAGTTAAGAAAGCAGTATTTTCACCCCCGGGGAACAATTAAGTCAATTTGAAAACCTTTAGTTTATTGCTGCAAGCAGAGGCAGGCTAATGGGGAGATTTCCAAGTTCAAAAAAAGTTACAGAGATAAGGTAGTATGATATTTAGCAATACTCAACTTCCAAAGAAATCCATGTTGGATTTATATATTAATATATTTTTGAATTATTAATCCAAATATGGATTTATTTAAGTCTTTCTCCTTAAAAAAAAAACCCACCAGCCTAAATCATGTCAACCAACTTACCTTTATTTTGTCATATTTGATTGTAACCCATACAGTCACTGGTACATTTCAGTGAAGGTCYCACTCTTCCCCAGCTCATTATTCCTTAAGACCTGTTGCTCTCTAGTGTGATCTTATGAGTAAGGAATTTTCTCCAGAACGAGAAAAAAGGAGATGGATGACTTCTTGATTTCATGAAGTGTCCTGGATACTCAAACTCGTAGAGCAGGGGAAAATGACTGGCAACTTTTGCAATCAACAAGGTGAGTATTTTGTCTTCAAAGACACAAACCACCACCTTGAGTCAGACAATCAGGAGTGTTTCTTATGTTGTCTTTTCTCTAATGCAAATATGGTTATTTTGCAAAAAACATGAAGACCTTTAGAGGGAAAGTCATATCATCTGGAAGAGGGGCCGTATCACCCTGGGAGAGGAGAAATCATTACCCAGAACTGAATGATTCTCTAACGAGGAAGACAGTTCCCAGGGAAAGAAATCAACATGCCATAGAGGATGTGCATGTCCTAGAAAAATACAGGCAAGGGTTTTTTTTTGTTTGTTTTTTTTTTTTTTTTATAGTCACACTGTTTAGGTGTTTTGGATGTTTCCTAATGGTGCTTTAGCCATGTATTTCTAAATGCTGCTAGTCAGTGTCCTGAAACTGAACCACTATCATGGTGTCAAAACATATCTCTTGATAAAATTAAGTAGTAGATCTTACAGCAAAAATGTGTCTTGGATACTTCAATATGTTGGGATCTTCACAAGAAGGTTTTCACTTGTCAGGAGCTTGCATGTTTTGCACATTCTTTGTTAAAGAAGTAGCACACAACTGCTGCATTTTCTGGGGTCACCAAGGGTTCTGTCCTGCAGGATGGCATGGGAGGACAGTGGAAGAGTAAYGGGACTCCTTAAACTTGTCCTAAATCTTTCCCTGATATAAGAAAATCGAATTAAGTCTGAATTCAGCAGATCAGTAGATCTCTAAAGGAAACATCTGCCACTGAAAATCCTCCAGCTTGATCTTTTGCTGTCATTCAAAACACTTTTTAACACTGCCTATGASACAGGGTACTTTGTTCAGATGTAAAAAGACAGAAACTTGTAAGATAATACTATTTTGTACTGCTCTTCACATTTATTTKGTTTGGAAAGTCGGAGATTCTGCAAACTATTGTTTGCTGAAGTCATCTGGAGTTGATKACTGTATATGTTGTAATGTTGGCTGTACTCTAAACTCACCCTTCTCTTGCCTGAAGATTAAAGGCAAGCCCAGCTCTGCAATATGACAAAGACAACCTGGTCTGGGCTCTCCACGGCCTCTTTTTGGCAGGAACAGAAACCACAACGACCACTTTGCACTGGGCACTGCTCCATATTTTGACTTATTTCAGAAAAGATGGGAGACTAATGAGGTCACATGCAAAGCTGCTTGGATTGTGCTTTCTCAGAGAACACACCAAGGTCAGCACAAAGGTAAACATTTGAAAAACTGCATCCAGTTGGAAATTCCTACTCTCTGCGAGCTGACAAACACACCTGATTTATTGAGAAGCATGAGTTCACCCAGTCCCCTTAGCTTTATCTTGCTGCCTTGTACCTTGGCAAAAAAAAAATCCCACTCTTTCTTCCTTTCCTGAGAGTCAGGATGAAAGCAGAGGAGCCAGGCATGCAACAAACCAGTGTAAGGTAAMTGGAGAGCACAATATCTCTGCAACTGTGCTGTGAGCACAACCAGTTCCTCAGGCTTCTCCCAGGGTGGTCCTGATGAGACAACAGCATTGACAAATTGCACATTCACAGAGAGAGGGGAAACTCCCATGATTAACATACATCTGCAACACGGGATCAGAGGAATATCTTCCTTCACCAGTGCAGAGGCWGACGGCCTGAATGTCCTTCAGATTCCTGATGCCGAAGATTCTCAGAGAAAGGTTTTATTTGGGGGAAAAAACAGTACTAGCAACTCTGGGGCTCTTGAGAAGTATTTTGCAATGCTTCATTGTCTTCACAATGTTTCTGAGGAATAACAAATTCATTAGATTTGTTTTTAATCTTCCATAAAGTTCTCCCATTATTATGTCTCTCCATTCCTGAGCCATCCGTACACTTTATACCTGCAAAATCTTATTAGGGCATTAGCTGAGGATGTTTTAATGCATTAGAAGGAAACAATCATCAGAGAGTGTAATATAATTTCTGTACAGGGTAGTTCTCTGTTTACTGTCACTGSAGTGGTTAACTGGGAATGTATTTGTGACAGCAGCAGCCCAGGGCTCCRTGCTGCAGCTAAAATGATCAGTGAGTCTGCCAAAAGGGGTGGTCCTGCCCGCTTTTGTCCTTGGCCATGTTCTCACTCTGCTCAGTGAGGCAGCAGCCAGCAGGTGAGTGTGCTCACAGTGCTGAGCCTGCTGAAAACCATCACTGCAACTAAAACTGAAAGGCTTTCCACCAGATCAGCCAAGCGAATCCAGGCCCTTTATTGCTCTGTGTTGCTGGATCCAACCCTGGTGAAAGAGAAAATGAGGGGATGGCACTCTTTGTTTTCAAGGCAGCTTGCTCACAGGTAGATTGCAGACTGACTGTAACTTGAAACTACATGAAGAAGCTTGACYAGGATCCCAGAGGAGATCTGTAGCATTGTGGGGAATCAAATCAGGTCTTTAAAGTCTAAGTTAATGTCCTGAGCAGAATACCAGCCTTTTTTTTCACTGTGTGAGCTGAAAAGGCACCCATCTGTGTTCACTTGACCCATTCTCCTGCTCACTCTGAGCATGGTGGAAGGACAAGCTCCACTGCTGCCCAGATCTTTGCCTGGGACTAGACATGGGTTATTCCTTGGCTGTCCAAGTGCTCCAACGTGGCTAATGTCTGTAGAAGGGTGGATCTGGGGGTTGTGGGCTCTCAGGCTAGCAGGTCACAGCTGGGTGAGAAGAGACACGAGAACCGCAATGTTTTCTAAAAGTCAACTTTTTGTGTGTGTTTTTGTCTTTCTCTGTATCTGGATCTCTCTGATATGCCTGAGCATCCAGAATGCCTAAAGGAAGCTGCCTCCAAGACTGACACTTCTCTCCTTAACAAGCTGTGGACACTGGACTTCTAAACTCACCATGAAACACTTSTGAAGGTATTGGTGCTTTTTATAGTTTCATGAATATTTCAGCTGTAGACTCCTAACGTATCCTTGACTAGAATGTAAAAGCACCTTTTGGCTCCTCCCTGGCTTCAGTCACACTTATATATATAGTTACATAAATATGTATATTATGCAGACTCAATCTTTATTCATCCCTCTACTCTATACTTTAAAATCTCTGAAACATATCATTAGAAATAAATCCTTACTGCCTGTCCCACACAGGCTAGCTGATGCTGCTCCTATCTGAAATCACAAATCTTTGCTCAAGGTAATGCTATCTTGTCTTCCCTCCCTTTGTGCAATTAGGTCTTTCTCAACTACCCAGGTCAAAGAATTTAAAACTGGTTTCTAATTTATAGTTTCCAGAGTCTTAATTGCAGTACTACTGAAAACCCAAACTCCACTGGCAATCAGAAGGATATGTAGGAGTTAAATACTTCCCAGACTGTTCAGGGTACTCAACACATCTCCAAAGAGAAACTCCAGATCAATGACTGATTGAAAAGTCTGCCCCACCGGCATCACCAGCTCGTCCAGCACAGCAGTGAGTGAACATTACCATCTAATGGCTGCGCCTGCTAATTACAGCTATAATTCCTGCTTTAACGGTGGAGGCTGGTCCTTGTGCAAGYACTGATACACTGAAAAGCCTGTGTGATTGGAAAACAAAATAAACAGGGAAAGATAATAAAACCARTATTTATGATTTTGCAGTGTCCATCAATCACCTCTGGTGGGCAACRTGAATAGAGGAATCCTGCTAAAATATTTCTGGGTGACATGTCACAGTTGCTGCACTGATGGCTACACGTGCTGCAGACACATGAATAATGACCCATAAATAATAATGCAATGCATTAGTAACAGTGAAAGCCTTTTAAGATTCTAATAGTGAAACATGATTCCAGCTTCTTTTTTTTTCTTGACAGCAGTACGAAATTTCTGCCACCCCTTCCTTGGCCAATGCCAAGGGTTGCACCAGTCCCAGTTTTCTGCCCAGTCCCTCTCCATTTTGCTGCAGGCATCCTCTTTGCCAGTGGGAATGTCTGGAAGCCACAGAGATGATTCAGGCTGATGATGCTGAGAAAGCTAGGACTAGAGAAAAAAATCCTGGAAGCCTGAGTCTGGGACAAAGCTTGTTGCTTCACTGAGCTCTTTGTCAGGGAAAGAGGTGAGATCTAGATCTCTATGTGCTCATGACATAGACTCATCCTCCTTCTTTCCAGCCCTGCTTTTTCTGCTGGAAGTTGCAGTTTCTGCAGTGTGCTTGATGAGAGTTTTACATAGCTGATGCTTTCACACTGGAGCCTAGAACATTGTAAGTCTTCCTCATTTCCACATCCAGAAATGTTTCCTTGTAGTGGGTGCGCCAGATGTCAGGAGTCACAGGTGCCAAAATCTAAGGTCACAGGTCTGACTTGAGAATGAGCAATTTCAGACACAAAGGAGGCTAGAAACATTTGGAATATTCAGAAGCAGAAAATATGTTCTATTTTTCTTTTTCCTTTTTTTCTTTTTTTCTTTTCTCATCCTGCTAAAGAAATAGTGGCCAAGTTCTGATGGCAGAAGAACCATCCAGAAAAACCAGGACAAGCTAACATGAATGTGGTTTTGAGAACTACAGACAAGCATTGACTTCAAATTTAGGAAGGAACAGGTCATTTAGGAAAGAATTAACTTAGAAAAATTGTACTCAAGGGCATTTAAATCTGCCAAATCTGAAAGCTGCTAGTGGAGAGCAGGTGATCCACTAGCATGGTAATGGTCATCCTTCATACAYTCCCCTACAAGATAATTTTAAAAATAATTAAGTGGTCATTCATTTCCTACGGTCAGACAAGTAACAAATTTGGAYCATTGCAATAGTTAGGCACAGCTCAGCTGTGAACATTCAGGCTTTAAATGTCCTGTGARGCTGAGATTTTCAGTGTTCCTTTGCTCCTATTTCCAGATGCAGCTCCAGGACACTCCCATCAGTGCTGAGGCCCTGCAGCCCTTTGTTGATGAGAAGGCTGCTGGTAGTGACACACCTGCAGATCTATGAACTCTCACCAAGGCTGAGATCAGGCACCACCAGAAGAGCTGGGTGCCTGCACAGCCACAGGAACTCATTGCTGGATGCCTGAATGAGATGCTAAAGGTAACTAGTAATTGTCTCTTAGGCAGCTGCTACATATTTCAAATGCTTGTAGTTACAGTATTTCCAGCTGCTCTCCTTCTTCCTCTCCTCTTCTTCCTGAAAGACTGTTGAGCTATTTCTTTCTTTGAATTCAACCTAAAACATAAAGAGAGTGATGTTGTTCCACTCTAGACTGAAAGAAAACTTACTGTGTGCTCTCCTCCTCTTCAGCACGATCATATTTTTTTCAGCAGAACAACCAGGCTGCTGTCTTACCAGCTCCACCAACTCAGTATGGAGCTTGTGATGAAAAACAGATCTGCTGCTGGAAATTTGCTAYGCTGTTAAAACAGCCCTAAATCTCACTGCCTGTCTCCTCTCTGCAGGCAAAGCATGACAGGCTCCCTACATTCAGAGCGAAGTGACCACAGATCTCTTCCTAGCAACCTTTATATACATGGTTACATATCAGCAGAATACTTTTAATCCAACCTCATGTGGGTGGTCTTTCTTCCCCATAGATAAAACTTACGTGGCTTTGGGGGAAGATGTCTTTGACCAAATAAAAATCCAAGTCAGGGGTTTTGATCAGTGTGAAGCCTCTACTTCAGTGGGGTTTAATGGTGTTCTTATTTTAAAAGTTTGATAACTGTAATTCCTGCACCCTCTGGTGCCCTAAAATCAATCTTTGAGAGTGCCTAATAATTTCTAAATAAGCTATTAAGTAGGAGATAGCAGACTGTGACCCTGTTTCTCACCCCATAATAATTACTTGGCTCTTGCACTGGGTAATTTCAAGAGAGTGACTGATATTGTGGCAATTTAAGTCATTAGTTTTTGATTCTGTGAAAAGGATCTTTGTATGAACAGCCCTCCATAGTGATTTGTGTAACATCCTTTCTGAGRTATTTTGGTGAACTGCTGGTCTTCTAAGCACAAAGATCCCATTTAGGGGTCCCATTGGTTCCCAACCTGGAAATYCTTTATGAGTTTTTAAACTATTTCTGCTACTACTCATTTCTAAATAAGTTTTTATATCTTCCAAGGCTGTGAATGCAGGACAACAGGATGGTAAGGATATTTAGCCCAGGACTTGGGGGGCCCTTTTCCCTGTTCTGCCATACTTGGGCGATTTCAGGGATATTGCTGAGACACTCACTGCCTTTTCTTTGAAACAGTAACACAGGAATACCAGCATCACATTTCTGTGCTTTGCAAGGATGAATACACTCACACACTGCAGAAAAGAGGAATTGTAGTGCCTTACATACACTAAACACCATTTTTTCATGTTCTTGGTCAACAGACTGTTGAGAGATMTAAGTCGTTTAGCATAAATAAGTAAGTTTTATGTAGACTGTGTTATRCAGTTATAATATTATGAGATTAGTATGTTGTTTTTTTTTTTGCTTTGCTTGCTTTGCATGAGTACCTGGATTACATGGGCAATTAATTTTCTGATTCTTTCCACATCAAAAACTGATGGAGAAACAGAAACTATGACGCTCAGAAATCCATTTACTACTCTGCCAGATAGCAGAAATTATTGGTCAGAGATTTACAAAGCACTATGAGAMGATTCTGTGCTCGTGGAGTAACCTGGGAACAGATTCATAAAGTGCACGGAGATGCTGGAAGAGGGACTATCGCCTTTATCCCCTATGAAGTGTCCGTTATCACTTACTCCAGGAGCTGCAGGATCTTTGCTGGGACATTTTTCCCACTTTCTGTGCCATCCCTCACTGCCCATGAAAGAAAGAGGGATGGGGAGGCCGTCGAGCTGGGGTTCCCTCACGTCACAGAAGGCAAGTTGCACAAACCCTTTGAAGAGCAACTGTCTAAATCCGCAAACTGTATCTTCCGGAGCCAAGTTAATTTAGAAATAATTTCTAATTCTCCGCTCAGGCCCCGGCGCCAGCCGCGCCACACCCAAGATGGCGGCCCCGGCKCCAGCCGCGCCACACCCAAGATGGCGGCCCCGGCAGCGCCCGCCGTGCGCCGTGTTGGAGGCTCCGGGGGGAAACGCGAGCGGCTGTGGCCGCGCTGCCGGAAGCGGCGGAAGAGTTTCGCGGGCGGACTCAGTAGGGCGGAAGTCGCTGAGGCGGACGGGGGTGGCGGCGGCAGCGAGCGACGATGAACAACAAATTCGACGCGTGAGTGTCAGCCCCGAGCCTCCCCGAGCGACCCCCGGTGCGGGACCTGCACGACCCCGAGCCCCGGCGGCGCCTCCCGCCGCTGCCCCGGCGCCGGGCGGGCGAGACGCGATGAGTCACGGGGCCACGCACAACCCCGTCCSTGCAGCCGGGGCCCGGCCCGGCCCCGAGGGAACGCGGGACCGAGGGGTGTGGGCGATGGGCCGGCGGCAGTCCCGCACCGGGGACATGCGGGCCGCCTCGTGGCCCYGCTGGTCTCGTCTTTSCCGGCGCTTGGCAGGGAATGGGGCRGGCGGGGAGACCTGTGGGGTGCTGGGTGCTGGCGCGGTGTTTGCTCGCCCCAAGCGCTGCCCCTGCTGTGCTGGGGGGCGTGGGGAGCAGAGTGGGAGAGAGTCAGCAGAATTGCAGTGACAGGTCTTTATGTTGGCCTCCTGAGTAGCAGGGAACCCTAACAAGTACTTGGGGTATCCTGTGGCAGATCAGCATCTGGCACAGACTGCTTGAGTTTGTTYCAGAAAGCTGTTTCGTTGTTCATTTACGCTTAAAAGTGTATGCCCAAGATGCCTGTGATGGGCGTGAAAGTGGAAGTAGTTTTTACTGTGTGGGTTATCCAAGCTTCGGTGGCCCCCGTACCACGGAGGAGCTTTGTAGCAGAGACTGCCTGGGCTCGGTATGAACCTTCTCACCTGTGTAATGGCTCTCTTTGCTATTTTCTTTACCAGATTGAAAGATGATGACAGTGGAGACCATGACCAGAATGAGGAAAATAACACACAGAAAGACAGTGAGAAGGAAAAGAATGATCGTGAGAAACCACAGAGYACTACCAAGAGGAAGGTATGGTGCTGGTATCTGCAATCCACTGCCAGGGTGTGTTGTGGCAGTGCTAGGGAGCCAGYCCTCAGTTCAGGGATAAGGAAAATATGTCTTGGAGGGCTGTGGTCTCAGTGCACTGTTACTGCTGCAGTGAGGATGGACTGTGTTTGATTTCAAGAATTTGCTGTAACTTTTGGAGGTCTGTAATCTGAGGAGTGAATGTTRCCTTAACTAATACAGCTAGTACCCTGCCAGGCTTTTGAATGGAAATKAGAAATAAAGCTTTATTTTCCTCAGAAAACAAATCTGGAAGAGCTCATAGAGAAAGAGTCCCAATCTTCTAGGGCAATGGTGGCTTGAAGGTGGTTTAGCAGGAAGTGTTTGTGCTACTGTTGAATTAACTTTTAAGATGTGTGTAGTRTAGTCTGGTCAAGAAGGCATAAGGCATATATCTGTCCTGGTTTGGGTGGTTTTTTTTTTAATCTTATGATTAGGAAAACTTCTCCCTCTGGAGTAATGCAACTCTTGTAAACTTGCCATAGTCARGAGGAAAGTAGAGATATAAGCCCTGGTAACTTTTGTAACAGTATTGAGTGACACAAGATAAAGCCTTTGATTGGCTTTTTCTAAGTTTTGACTCCTGGGTAATGAGCTCTCATTAGCCTCATTTGTGCTCATTAGAAGTCTTTTTAATCAGAAATCAGTGTTTTGGAAATTGAAAAGTGATCTCTGCYCACTGCTGGCGATGGGTTCTGCCAAAGCTGACATAACAAGTTCTGAGATTAATCCTCCCAGAGCAATGGGTGTTGGTTGCTTAGGGCAGTTGGTGTCACCAAAGAGTTTTAATTGCTTTTGAATCATGATTCATTATAATTGGGGTTTATCCTTCCCAGAGGAGGAGAGTGTCTTTTTATTTTTTTTTTCCTTAATTTGAAAAAGTTAAAGGTTTCACATTGCCCTTTTTAGTTGGTCTTTTTCTCTTTGAGACAGGCACAGTTACAGACTGAAAAAAAAATCRGTAATGATGCCTCTGATGGTTTTGTAAACTTAATTTTCCCCTTGCCTTTTTAGATGAGCATCCARGGGGTAAACAAGCTTTTCTGTTCTGCAGGCTGTGGTTCCGGGGCCAGCTGAGCACCCCTTGCAGTATAATTACACCTTCTGGTACTCCCGACGGACCCCCGGGCGGCCCACCAGCTCCCAGAGTTATGAACAGAACATCAAACAGATTGGCACCTTTGCCTCCGTGAGTACTCCCCTGCTGTCCCTGTGTCACTTGGGCACAGCATGGCTCAGTTCCTGTGTGCTGGCTCTGTGCTCACACAGGCCTTGCTCGTGTTGGCAGGAGCAGAGGGTAGTGAGTGATTTGCTCAGGCAAATGAGCTCTTCAATTTCCTGTAGCAGGAGATGTGTCTTCAGCAGTTTTCCTCTGCCCTGTGCTGGACCTCTGTGYGTGGTGGTAGCTGGAATAATAATAGAAAAACAACAAGAGCAGCCACATAGTTCAGTTATGGCTAGAGCAGGAGTGGACAGGTCAGCAGGAGAAGAAAGSAACAGCTTTTCTGTTCCTTTTCTATACAGTCCCCCTCATACTGCCCTCCACCCATATTCCCACTACAAATACTGTGTTTGAATTAGCATCTGGCATGCTGTATTTGCAAGCATGATGGCCTCTTTTCTGTCTGGAAGTGATGGATAAGGTGCAGTTTGGTGTTGCAATCAAGTTMATTAAAAGGCAAATTGCTTTTCCTCTTTCCTTCCGCTCTGTGGTTGCTTATTCCTGGRATAAACTTGTGTGTTGTCCTGGAAAGGCAGTGTTGAGTTGTTGTATGGTGCTGGCAGTGTAAAACCACCCTGAAGAGCCTGAGATACATGAGCAGAATGAGTCCYCATAACCATTCTAAAGTCCAGGAAGTATTTTGGCTGTTCTCTTCCTTTTTCTTTTCAATCTGGTATTTGCCCGTTTTTTTTTTTTTTTTTTCAGGGTCTCTTAAAACTGTTAATTTTGCCCACCAGTACATATGCTCTGTAATTTGWGAATTTATAAAAATACACCTTTCTTCTTTCTGGAGGCTGCATAAAAATATGCCTCTCCAACCAGCTGGGTTGTGTTTCTGTCTCCACACAAGATAAGAGTGGGAAGAAGAGCCTGTTGTTGTGGGTAGTTACCACTCCTATTATCCTGTGTGAGCAAGTATTTTCAGTTCAGGGGATAAAAAATGGGGCTGCCACTTGATGATCTGGCAATAACTTTGCAGAGTCTGTTAAATCAGTGTAGACTTAACATTGATTTTTAGCTCCTTAGAGGAAAAATGTCATGTTGCATATTCTGTTATCTGCTCTTGGCTACAGAGAATTTGGGGGGGGCTGTTGTAGGCTGGAAGTGCTGCAGTTCTGTTAGGCTGGAGAGGGACTGGCCAGCATATCAGATAATGTGTTTGGGTCCAAATTCTGTTTAAAGAGAATGAAGAGCAGACTTCAGAAAGAATTGTCTGGGCTAAGTCTGGATTCACATTTATTCTTGGCTTTTCAATGGAAAGATCTTAAATCTGTGAAATGTGAACCACTAGAGGGCACATTCCCTCACTTTGGGAGTGTGATTTCCCCACGGATGTTCAGAATGTGCCTGACAAAAATAGATTGCTTCTGACCCTTCCTCAGTCTTGGTTCATAATTTTATTGACTGTAAAAGCAAATTCCAGCTTGGATGGCAGAGGTCACAGATTGGAGCAGAATTCCAAGTGCTGACCAAGTCATTAAGGACTCTGGTAAAGTACTTGGAGTGGTGTCTGACCCTTCCAGCTGTGCTGCTGGTCTGTCTAATAGCTATTGTTTTACTGAGCAGAGTCTTCTTAAAATGTGGAAATTAGTGTGATCCCTTCTACTGCCTTGTTTTGTTTTAAAGATCTATCCTTTCTCATCCAGAGATTCTGAGAGGATAAATATGCTGTTTTTAAGAACCATAAAAGCTAAGTTCCTTGCCTACGGTCAGATTGTCTCAAGTAGACACAGGGGTGCCAGAATGGAGCTGGTCTAGGTGAAGTGGTGCAAGTATACCATGGCAGATTGTAAAAGGAAGTAAGAGGTRTTTAAATAAAAGCTCTGAATAGTGCCTTCTGATCTTAAACTAGCACCAGAATATGTATTTTGCCTTAAAATCTGGATACATTAAAGCAAATACCAAAAATGTTTCATTAGGAGGCTCCTACAGTTTCCATGGTCACAGAGAGCAGTGGTTATGCAGAGTRGAGAGGCTTGGCTGTAGCTGATGTATTTGACACATACCCAGTGATTGAAAGTTTGGGCAGTAGGATTTACAAGATATGTTTGGTACTGTTMTGCAGAGCAGCTGTTCCCTTAGCACAGATTTCTTCAGATGAACACTAAGAGACTATAGAGGCACCTGTTGAATATTTCAAGTGGTCAGCTGGTAATGAAGGCAGTCAGAAAAAGGTACCCAAGCTCTGATCCTTCTGCTGCCTTTTGTGTTGCCTAATCAACACCTCTGTGACTAGAGAGTAGAACAGGAGAGGGGAAGGTGGCTTGGAGAGCTGGTGTAAAAATGRAAGCCTGTTTCTGTAGGAATCTTGACTCTGGGCAGTTTGAGCAGCCTCATTGTGTGGTTCATGTTGTTGCAGGTGGAACAGTTCTGGCGGTTTTACAGTCACATGGTACGTCCTGGGGACCTGACAGGCCACAGTGACTTCCATCTTTTCAAAGAGGGCATCAAACCCATGTGGGAGGTGAGTTGGAGCTCTCATTTCTGCCTTGATGTTTTCCCACAATACTTTGGAGGGAACCCTCTACAGTGAAGGGACTCTTGCTATTAAATGGCATTCCGTTGGATTTTCTTGGGTGACATCCTATCTTCTGGGTTTCCTGTAAACTTGTCCTCAGAACTCTGTCCCATGTAACCTAATGGTCCTGCTGCCAGAGAGGGAAGATGAAGTTGCTGGCTGCACCCCATAAAAGTTGTTGAGCTGCCCTTGCCAATGGAGGGGGTGCCCCAGCTAAGTCTGTGCCTCCCAGTATAGGCACTTGCCCCTTATAGCTGCCTCCAGTGACAGCAGTGCAGGGCTTTTCTCTGGAAGGACTGGACCTCTCTAAGTGGAATTCAACAAAGCTTATAAAAACCAACCCTCCTTTTTCAGTCAAGGAAGGCAGAGGTGCATATGGTTAAAAGCCTATACATAGAGCTGGAAATGGAAAAACAATTTAGCCTTTTATTTGCCTTTTTTTTTTTTTTCCCAAGGCACTTTAGTTTGCTTCTATTTCTATCCAAATCTGTTCAAAGAATTTTAAAAAAATCTTTTCCCAGCAAATCATTCGTCTAGTTCCTGGCCTGCTTCCAGCAATGACCAATAGCATTTACAATATGAGGATTTTATATGTTGCTCTGAAGTACCTAATTATACTGCTTGGTCCTGAGAAATTTATATGTGACCCTCGTTGGCAATTATTTTAAGCAAGGTGTTTTATAGCCAGTTACTGCAAATACAATTTATATAAAACGTTTACCTCTCTTTGCACTCCTGGYGAGCAAGTTCCTCAGACAATGTGTCAACCACCAGAGAGTCCCCAAGTTAATGATACCAGAATTTCTATAAAGCATTTCCCGGTAGCCCTTCTAAGATGGAAGTGGAGAGATTCTTTGGTATTTTTGCTTTTGGCCCTACTTACTACTTATATTTGTAGAAGAGGACCTGAGATCTCACTTCTGGCCTTCCATTGCTGCATRCTTTGTAGGGCTTTGTTTATGCTTCTTTCTCTTCCAAACCAGACCTTAGTTACCATCATTCTTGTAGGCACATATGTGTAGTTCTGATCTTTTTCTGCATCCATCTGTGCCTTTTCTGGTAAAGTCAGAAGCACTAAGCATAATATTCCCTGGTGATTTACTGGGCTGCAGTTCATTATTATTCTGGTAAGGGACAATCAAATGCTTGACTGAACTGAAGCTTGTTTAACCTGAAAGAAAACTAACAACCATAAAGCATGTGATACAGCATCTGCCTCYCAATCACTGCTCTCTCTGTAGCCTTGAACCTGCTTGAGCCACCTTCGAGATATTTTTAGCAATGCCACTGTCTCTTYTGATGCCCATTAGTCATTGTGGAAAGTTTGAAGAGTGAAACCAAACTCCCAGTCTAAAGGCTATGATGTTCACAACTTGAGGAACAAAGACATTAAACAGAAAGTAGTTTTGCTTCTCACAGAAGTCTGCCACATTCCTAGAACTTGTGTTGATTTGGATGACTCCTGTCATGCTTTGCGGTTTGTCTGGAGCTGATGCCTTCCCCTTTCAGTCCAGGCTTTAGCACATCCCTGAAAAGCAGGAGTCAGGTGAATGCTGCTGTTATGCAGGCCCTTCTACGTTTCCTCAGGATTGCTTCATTAGCACTTGCTGTGTCTCATAGGGTACCCAAATGTTTAGTTTTGTCTGAGTCCTAGAGAAACTTTAAGGCTAAAATAAAATTAACTTTATTTCATTAAGAAGSGTTGGGCTGCCTTGCCTGGCATCTTTAAGGTGTGTCCCAGCTTGGCAGAGGGGATTGCTGGTGATTTGGAGAGGGATGTCCTGTTTTGTGCAGTCCCCTCTGAGTCATCCTTCGTTCTGTTTCTGTCCTAGACTTGTCTTCCCTTACCCATCCTAACTGCCACCTTTTTGACTTGTTCCTACCTCTCTATCTTTGCCTTTGGATRGAATTTGTTCCCCTCTCACCTTGTAAGRTTTCCCAGCTACAGTGTTGTACCAGAGAATGCCACAGTGTTCTGCACAGAGGAGGAGCTGCTCTTTGACATAGCTCAGCTTTCTGAGGAGCAGGGGAGGCTGTARCAGGTTCCAGCTCTTTGTCAGCATTAAGATACAGAGTCACAATATTCAAGTGACAGACTGGGTGCTTAGCATAAWTTTTTTCTTTTACTCTCTCCCYTCATTTTGRTTGTTTCCCTGGGTCACCACAGTCTGGAGCAAACATTCAGCTGTATGATGTGTGATAATGTCAGTATTTCACAGACAACAGAGTGGTCTTTTCTGTGTTAGCACAACTGGAAATGTGGAAGGAAATTGTTTATCAGTTTTTCAGTTGCTTTTAAAATACYACTTTGCAAACTCTTTCCTTGCTTTCCGTGCTCTATGATAAGGGTTTTCTCCTGTTTTACAGGGATCTTGTTTTACAAGCAGAGCTACATATACAGGGGATTAGACAAATGGTGAATCAGTCTCAGGTTTAGAAATAGTTTTAAGGTYCTTGCCTCTGGGTCTGTTTGCGCAGATTGGTAGCCTGGTGTCAAAACACTAGAACTCAAGTCTTCAGAGSATAGTGCTTTGTCTGGAAGGCTGAGGGCCATTGTTTCAAGTATTTTGTATTCAAAGTAAATGGTTTTTCTCTGTCTCTGCATGTGTAGGGGAGAAGTGATATAAAATGCTTTTGCTTGAAAATACCTCCCTTGCCCCACCCAATCAATATTTGCTCCTGTTGTAGCTCTGCTGTCTCGTAGGTGGYAGAAAAATAGCTGGGAGAAAACAAATCAATTTATTTCCCCTCTTCTTAGGATGATGCCAACAAAAATGGTGGTAAATGGATTATCCGTCTGCGGAAGGGCTTAGCGTCACGGTGCTGGGAGAATCTTATTCTGGCCATGTTGGGAGAGCAGTTCATGGTGGGGGAAGAAATCTGTGGGGCCGTCGTCTCTGTCCGATTCCAGGTGAGTGCTTTTGAGAACTGGCACGTGCTTCCATGTGCAGGGCTGCCAAAAGTGCCCCGTGCTTACCCCTCCCTCCCTGCAATTCCACAGGAGGACATCATCTCCATATGGAACAAGACAGCCAGCGACCAGGCCACGACAGCCCGGATACGCGACACGTTACGAAGAGTGCTCAACCTACCTCCCAACACCATCATGGAATACAAAACCCACACCGATAGCATCAAGTACGTGTGCTGGCCAGGGGGGTGCTGCAGGTTGCATGTGTGCTCGAGCAGATCAGTGCACGGCGCAGGACTTGGCAGAGGTGCTCGTGTGCGTTAGGGCTGTTCCTGCAAACTGAAGTACAAACAGCTGCAGTTGTTGCCAGTGTGCTTTGAAAGCCAAATTCCTGTGTTGTTATCGTGCTATTGTTAGGGGTGTTTGGCTC